TTGTCCTCTGAGTTAGCTTCCGAATGTTTGGTTTTTAAGTGGGTGCCATCATGTGCTGAAATTTTTCTTTCTTTTTTCTTTTTTTTTTTTGGTCTTTTTGAGACAGGGTCTCCCTGTAGCCCTAGCTGACCTAGAACTCACTATGTAGACCAGGATGGCCTTGAACTCACAGAGATCTGCCTGCCTCTGCCTCCAGAGTGCTGGGATTAAAGGCATGTACTACCACGCCTGGCTTGTTTTTCTTTTTAAGACAAGGTCTCATGTAGCCCAGGCTGACCTGGGTAAGGCTGGCTTTAAACTCCTCATTCTCCTGCCTTCATCTCCCAAGTGCTGGGATTACAGATGTGTGCCATCAGTCTTGGCTAAAATCTTGTTTTATCAAGCTCTCTTTCATCCAGGAGCATTTATTGAAGGCCTGATGTATAGCAGGCAGCTTAGACAGAAAAGGCTCTATCTTTATGGAACTTACCTTCTCTGTAGCCCAGGCAAGCCTTGAACTCTGAAAGCTTGCATTCTAGTGAGAGGGTGACAAGCTAGGAAATTGAACAAGGGCATTCAAGCCTTATGAGTTTGATAGATATTAGTTTGACAGTATTGAATTTGAAGAGCCAGGGGTCAGGAAAGCTGGAGCCCAGCACCTCCAGAGATGAACCTAGGCCTAGTGCTCACAGTGAGCAGGACGGACACAGCCAGACAAATCACGGGCTGTGTGCTGTGCTCACAGTGAGCAGGGAAGACAGCTAGACTAGGCACAGGCTGTGTGCTGAGTGATTTTAGGGTTGTAAGCTAGGCTTTGTAGAGCGTCTCTGGGCCTGGGTTCTGGCTGTCAGGTGGGGGCTTTTGGGCTTTACAAAAGGGAGTATAGATCATTGGTCCCAGGGGATGCTGGGTGCTGGGCTAGGAGTCCCAGGCTGTACTGTGGGGAATAGGCCAAGGATCTCGGGCATTGTTGGGGGGCTAGGCCTTGGCAATGCTAGGGGGACAGGCTGGGGGTCTCATGCAATGTTGGGGAGATAGGCCATGGGTCCTAGGGTGATGCTTGGGGCACAGGCCAAGGATCTCAGGCAGTGTTGGGTGGACATGCCATGGGTCCTAGGAGATGTTGAAGCAATGCGCCAGGGGTTCCAGATGATGGTAGGGGACAGGCTGGGGGAATCCTAGTTGATGCTGGGGAGATAGACTGGGGGTTTTAAGTAATATGGCTTGTGTTTGGGAAGCTGGGGCATATGGAAGGGAAGGACCAGGAAAGGGCCAGGCTGGGGAACTTTTACAAGCCTGGGTCAGTGATCTTCGAGTCAGGAAGTGAGTCTTCAGACCGTCTTATTCAACTCTGATCACCATCCATCCACTGGCCATGCAGCTGAGGAGATAGATCGAGGCTGTGGAGAGGGGCCTGGCTGGAGCTAGGCTGAGAGGGCAGCAAATGGGAAATTTGGGGAGTGATCGTGCACGGCAGAAGGGGTCTGGTGATGCTAGCATGTGAGCACCTTCTGTTCTTCCTTTTGCAGCCTGTGTTCCATGTCATGGGGTTCTCGGTCACTGGGAGGGTCCTGAATGGACCTGAAGGAGAAGGCGTCCCCGAGGCCATGGTCACCCTGAACAACCAGATCAAAGGTGGGCAGACACTGTGGCCCTGAGCCTGCTCAAATGGCTTATTTTGGATCATGGAAAGAAATGGAAGCAAGGAACACAGTCTCAGTGACCTTATGAAAACACCAGGTTTTTAAAGCTCTCGTGAAATGTGCCTATTGGGAAATGCCCGCTTTGGGGCTTGTCTTGTGTTCACATGCTTTTGTTTCACAGTCAAAACGAAAGCAGACGGCTCCTTCCGCCTGGAGAACATTACAACGGGCACGTACACCATCCATGCTCAGAAGGAGCACCTCTACTTCGAGACGGTTACCATCAAGATTGCACCCAACACCCCGCAGCTTGCTGACCTCATTGCCACAGGGTAAGTATGCATTGGGTGGTGTCGGGCACACGAATGCTTAGTGATCTGACTGCTTCTGCCCAGGATCCATGTTCAGCTCTGACAACTTTCGAGAAATTCAGGCTGGCTTTCATTTAGAATGATTAGTGCTGAATCTTACAAACGGAAGGTACTTAAATTTATCTTCCTTCAAAGTTAAAATAGCTATGTTAAATAGGAAAAAAGAGGGGCTGGTAAGGTGGCTCAGTGGTGAAGGCTCTTGTTGCTAAGCTTGATGACCTGAGTTCATTCCCCGTGACTACATGGTAGAAGAATTGTTAACTGTCTCCCACAAGTTGTCCTCTGACCTGTCATGTGTGCTCGTACGCACACACACACACACACACACACACACACACACACACACAAATTAATAAAACATATCTTTCTTAGAAGGTCTTTCCTTACCTGATCTTAGAGGACTTTGGTGAGTGCTGTGGTGGTTGGACATGTGCCAGGTGGTGTTTTAGGTCATTGGTGGAGTTCACCTCTTAGTCACTGATAGCAAATGTGTCAAGGACAGATTGTAAAAGATTGGAAAAACACTTGGGCTTCCCATTCTGACAGGAGTGTCTGTGGACAGTTAAGTGATGAGGGTTCAGTTTTGGTCTCATAGCCACCAGGTGGCGCCCTCTCCCAGATGCTTGGCTAGCCTTTTCACCTTGAAGCTCTGAGCTCAGGTCGGTAGACATAGACTAGTTGACTGGAAGTGGTATGTCAGCATCAAAGGGGTGGGCTGGGGAGCCTAAGTGAGTGTGGTCACAGGAATAAGTATTAGGTACAAGGTGGTGCCCAACACCAAAGCTAGGGAGCTAAGCCCTGGCAAACAGTCCACAGGCCTAGTCACCCAGGATCTACTAGGGAACAGGTGGGTTATCTCCTGTGAACAGGTGGGTTAGGGTTATAGTGCTAGCTCAGCATTGACAGGAGATGAGGAAGAAAATTGCCCTTAGAAAATAATTCTTGGATTCAATCCTCTTCTCCCTTCATTTTCACAAACTGTCCTCTTTTTGTGTGTGTGTATGTGTTGGGAAATGTATACTAGGTAAGCACTCTGCCATTGAGTTATCCCCTAACCCCCCCAAACATCTGGTCTGGGTGAGGTACTGTGTCAGGGGAGGTCATTACAAAGAACCAGACCAAAATGATGAGGATAGGGCTGCCAGTTCCCTGGGGAGATAACCAAAGAGAGAGATGCTTAGTTAGGAATTGTGCAGGAAGAGATAAGCAAGTTCTGAGATTTCAGGTATGTGTGTGTTTATATGGGGTGAATGTATCCTGTGAGGCCTTAGGAAGATCAAGGTCACAAAGTACAGGGCTTCCAGGCAGGGAGGATCATGCTCAGAGGGGAGGACGGGAAAAAATGAGCTGAGCCAGTGTGGCTAGAGGTAGGTGATGAGGTCACAGAGCCTATGCCGGGTGCATGTGGGGCAGGGTCAGCTCTTGTCCAAAAAGAGTGATAGGGATTGTAGTGATAGGGATTTTGGCTTTGACAGGTTTTTTTTTTTTTTAATTCTTCCTGGCTGCTGGATGGAGAGGAGTTGGCAGGAAATCAGGGTGTTGGTGGAGGGCACAGATAGGAGCCCGTGGCAGTCCTTTGGAGGAGATGGGGGTGGCTCAGAGCTGGGTGCTGGCGAGAGAAGAAATGAAACAGGTTTGATAAGCTGTCAGATGCAGAAGGTCAGTAGGCCTGTGTTGCTGGGGCCCTGGCTTCTTATTTGAGCAATTGCACAGAAACCAGCAGAGGGTGTTTGGAGCCCCTGGAACTGAAGTTACAGATGGTTGTTGGCTGGGATTCAAACAGCAAGTGTTCTCAACCACTGAGACATCTCTTCAGCCTCTTGTTAACTCTTTAGTAGATAGTGCCAAAGAGCTGGCTGTACCTTTGCTCATCCTAGGCTCTGCACCCTGGCCTCTCCTGTCTTGTTTCCCTTCCATGATTTTCTGGGTGAGGTAGACAGGATTCTGTGGCATTCAGCATAGCCCATGATTGCCAGACTCCCAAAGTTCTTTATTACCTTTCTGCCAGAGCAGAAACTGATGATTATCTCCAGCAATTGTTTAAGATGAAAAAATAGGACTTTTAGTGAGTTGGAAAAGTGGGCATCCTGTTGGGGATCTTGTCACACCTGCCACAGTGTAGAGCTGGGAAGCAGACGGTCCCTGAGGACTTCCTCAGTGAGTTCCCTGCCTTCTATGTATTTCTCAAGGCACGTGATGCAGCACCCCATACCTGTTCCTCTGGATGCTCAAATCGGAGTCATTCCCTGTTAGTGGCTCCCATCTCCTGAGGAACTTGGTTTCAGCTTTGCAACTTTTAATCTTAATGATGCTCTGCACAGTCTCTCAGTTTGCTCTTCTCTACACATGGCATCTGATCACAAACGAGAAGTCGTCTTTGGTAACCCTGCCTCATTTTATGGCCTGCTTAATGGCACTGTTTTACAGGCAGCAGGCTCTTCCTTTTTTAGGGCTAGCCCAGTTACTTCAGTGATCCAATTACCTGAAATGTTTTTATTACCCGCAGATTTTCTGCCAATGACTTCTGCAATAGGGGATTGCCAGATGTTATCCAGAGTATAGGCACTGGGTCTGCCCTTGGCCTCTGTTATAGAAAGAGCAAGGTCCTCCATGCCTCCTGGAGGTGGCTTTCCAAAGTGGAAGTCTATAGTATGTCTCTTGCATCAGACTGACTGGTCTCAGGCACGAAGGCCGTTCAGGGTTGTGTCTGGGGGTTGCCAGGAGCTTGTGCAGTGACTGGGGCCTCTTGTTGCAGTTTCAGCGTCTGTGGCCAGATATCCATCATCCGCTCTCCTGACACCGGCAAGCCGATGAGCAGATACAAGGTGGTCCTGTCTTCTCAAGACAAGGACAAGTCTCTGGCCACTGTGGAGACAGATGTTCACGGATCATTTTGCTTTAAAGCAAAACCAGGGATCTACAAAGTCCAGGTGCGATGAGTTTTGCTTGATTTAAAATGTTGGAGGGCTGAGGAGGTAGCGCAGTCTGTAAAGGGCTTGCTATGCAAGTATGAGGACAGATAAAAAGCTAGGCATGCTGGCAAGACAGGTAGATAGATCCCTGAGGTGCACTGGCCAGCCAGCCTAGCCTACTGGGTGAGCTCCAGGCCAGTGTGATCCTTTCAAAAGGAAAAAAAAAGGTGGACTGCTCCTGAGGAACAGCCCCTGAGATGACCTCTCGCCTCCACATGCACCCACATGCATGTCCACACACACCCACATGCGCACAATATTGGAGAAAACTTGATGGGGGTTTTCCCAAAGACTGGTGAGCTAGAGTGTAGAGTACAAGATAGCATTTCGGTTGCTGGCTTCTTAACGGTGAAGTGTTTTTCTTCCTACTTGTGAATGGAGCCCACAGGCTTAGTTTCATAGCAAGGCAGAGGCCTGTCTTCCCATCGGCTGTGCTTGGGGTTAGGAACAGTCCTGTCCTCCTGTGCTTTCCTGGACACCTTACTCTAGAATGTCTATGAGGCTAAGAGGAAAGCAAAAGCAGCTCTAAATCAAAGCAACTCAGGAACTTCATGGTGCCTGGCTTCTGAGAGCTCAGGCCAGAGGGGAGTTTCCCCTCCCTGACTCCAGGACAGTGCAGCAGGCCCCATAGGACCTGCCCATCCAGGAAGAGAAGCAAGGCAGCCCCCATCCCCACCCCCTTGTCCTGGAGTTTCCCTGCAAGGAGGCAGGGCTGAGTGGAGGAGTGACAAGACAGCTGGTGTTGGAAGACCTAGTCCCCGCAGCTGGCGAGGCTCACCAGTCAACCAGTACTGCTCCCAGCTCCAGAGGGAGGCCTGGAGTACCCCTCCCCTCCCTCTATGGGGGTCACAGAGTTCTTACGGTAAGATTGACCCTGTTCCCCCTGATCATCAGTGGTGGCGACAGCTGCCTCTGTCAAGACACCTGCCATCTTATCTGGAGATGGCCATGCCGGTGGCCTCTGGACGCCCTATCAGAAATACGGTGATGGGAAATTCCAGAATTCCAGCCTTACTAGGAATAAAATAGGGGTTGGCTCCCCTTTACCCATCCTTTGTTAAGCCTGGTAAGGAACCCAGAAAAAGGAAGAAGCCAGATGGGATGGTACATACCTGTGTAAACCTAGCACTTGGGAGACTGAAGCGAAAGGAGTGAATTTCAGGCCAACCTGAGCCATGTAGGCTCTGTCTCAAACAGAGTAACACAGGAAAATAAATTCATGGAAGAAGAAAATGACTCAACTCTGCAGGTCCCCCTGGGGGGTTATATCAGGCACACTTTTATAGGACTCTTGCAGTCTGGTTTCCCAGGTCTGCAACTGTTTTTGTTTTGGTTATTTTCTCTTTCCGTTCTTCTCCATCTCTTTTTTTTCTTTTTCTTTCTTTTTTTTTTTTTTGACAGGGTCTCCCTGTAGCCCCAGCTGCCCTGGAACTTACTATGTAGACCAGGCTGGCCTCAATCTCACAGGAGGCCTCTGTCTTGGGAATGTTGGGATTAAAGGCATGTGCCACCATTCCTGGCCCTCCTTCATCCAGCCTCCTGAGTGCTGGATTGCAGGCGTGTGCTGCCATGTCTGACTTGTCATGACTTCTGAGTGGATCTGCTGTGATTGCACAATTGAGCTGGAAACAAACCTTTCTCCTTCACAATCTGCTTAGCTCTGGGGCCAGGTGAAGGTTCTCATGCATCATGGGTTAGGGGAAGAGCTGTTCCCTGCAGCCTCTAGTGTCTCTCCCTCTTGTGCAGGTAGTAGTGCCTGAGGCTGAGACCAGAGCTGGGCTGATGCTGAAACCACAGATGTTTCCTCTAACTGTGACCGACAGACCTGTGATGGATGTGACCTTTGTGCAGTTTTTGGCTTCCGTCTCTGGGAAAGTCTCCTGTTTGGGTAAGGTGTCCCCTCTGTTACAAGAGGTCAGAGGGGAGCAGCATTTCTCAGTAGTTGCCTTGCGTAGTCATCGTCAACTGGATTATTTCTTTCTCCCTCAAAGAGCCTAAAAGGAAAAATAGGGAGAGAGCGAGAGAGAGAAGAGAATGTGTGTGGGTATGTGTAGGCATAGGCCAGAGGTCAGTATTAGGGGGCTTTTCTCAATCTCTCTCCACCTTTTTATTTACTTACTTTATTTTTATGTGTATGAATGTTTTGCCTGCATGTATGTAGGTGTACCCTTGTCGTATAATGCCTGTGGAGGCCAGAAGAGGGCATTGGATCCCCTGGAACTGGAGTTTCAGATGGTATTATCCTCCATGTGGGTGCTGGTCCCTGGAAGAGCTGCCAGTGCTGTTTTGTTTTGTTTGCGACAGGGTCTCCCTATAGCCCCAGTTGACCTGAAACTTGCTAAGTAGACCCAGTTGGTCTTGATCTCACAGAGATCTGCCCGCCTTTGCCTCCCAAGTGCTGGAATTAAAGACATGTTCTACCATGCCTGGTCCCCAGCCAGTGCTCTTAACCACTGAGGTATCTCTAGCCCTTCCACCTTTTTACTTTTTGAGGCAGGGTCTCTCATTGTACCTGAAGCTCATCAGTTTGACTAGGTGAACTGGACAAAGTGCTTTAAGGATCTGCCTGCCTGCTTCTCTGCTTGCTTGCCCCTTAGTGTTAGAGTTACAAGTGTGTGTTGCCGCCATGCCCAGTTTTTGATGTGGGCTCAGGTCTTCATGCTTTCGTGGTAGACACTTCCCTGTGTCATTTCCTTAGCGCCCCCTCCCCTCCTTTTGAGATAAGGTCCTAGTAGCCTTTTCTTTGAAACCAAAGATGATGTTGAACCTCCTTCCTCTGACTCCCAAGTGCTGGGATTATAGGTGTGCACTGTGATACCCCAGCAAGCCTAGTTTTTATTTTTTTATTTTATTTTATTTACTATTTTTATTTTATTTTATGTGTATGCGTGTATTGCCCGCATGTAGCTAAGTGCATCTGCATTGTGCAATGCCTGCAGACAGAAGAGGCTGTCGGATGCCCTGGAACTGGAGTTATGGACAGTTGTTAGCTGCCATATGGGCGCTGGGATTCAGACCTGGATCTTCCGTAAGAACAGCCAGTGTTCTTAACCGCTGAGCCATCTCTCCAGCCCCAGCCTTGTTTTTTTATAAAACGAACATACTGCTCCTCTTGAGGTCTTTAAAGGGAAATATGGTGGTTGGTCCTGTCATTGCTACCATAGATTCTGGAAGCAGACTCAGGGCTTCCCTGCTGGCTATATGATCTAGGGCCAGTTACTTAATCTCCCTGTGTGTCCCAGTCCTTTATCTGATATGTATATCTCTTTGGATTGGGATTTCAGTTAGCTCAGTGTTAGCCTCAGAACAGGTCTTAGAGCACAGGAGGGTGGTGCCACACTCTGCTGGCCTTGGGGACGCTGCTGTTGTGCTGGTGTGACTCTGTGCCATTGTGGTCTCAGCTCCTGTGCGTCTCCCCCTCCCCAGGTGTACAAGTGCTCTCCTCATCCTGTCCTGTCTCAATGGGGGGCTCTGCAGCGGCTCTTGCTCCCTCCCTGCTCCCTGGCTCGAGCAGAGGCCTTGAGTACAGTGGGCCTTGTTCTCTGTCAGCATGTCATTACTGCTGACTATGGCCTTGGGGTGACCCAGCAGTGGGTCACCACCTTGACTTTGAGGGAGCTTGGTTGGAACTGCTCTCAGGAGCTCCTGGGCAGCAGGCAGAGGTTAAGTGCTCCAATGCTCTGGGTTCGTGATGGCAGTCACATGAGGCCCTCCTGTCTTTACTCTGCAGACACCTGTGGGGACCTGCTGGTGATGCTGCAGTCTCTGAGCCGCCAGAGTGAGAAGCGCAGCCTCCAGCTCTCTGGCACAGTCAACTCTATGACCTTCACGTTTGACAGTGTGCTGCCTGGGAAGTACAAAAGTAAGGACAGTAGGTGACAGTGGCCGTGAACCTTCCCAAACTCATTCTCCTATTGTGTCACAGTGTAGACCTTTCCTGGGATCTTCGCCGTGTGACTTTGACCTTGACTGTGCGTTATGTAGTGCTGGCTCTGCAGTAGAGCCACCTATCTAGGAGGCCCACCTGTGCTTCTACTTTGTGGAGGGTGCCCTCACTTACACTATCTCTAAATGCCAGAAAGGAAGATGTGATGTAATTCCACTCGGGTTGTCTGCCACTCAGGTCCAGAGTAGCCTTGGCCAGTCACTCCTTTGCCTAGCCTCGGTTCTCTCATAATAGCCTTTCTCCAGAAAATGAGAATAAACTAGAGTCAGGTGTCAGGAGGGTAGGAAGTGCCAGCCAGTGCTTGCATGCTTTCCTGTCTTTAAGCTAGCCCTTGTCTGTACTAATGGGTTTTCAAAGCTCAGCTTGGGCTGTGGGTGTGGAATAGCATGGAGAGTAGGCTTCCGTCCTGAGGACCTATGTTTTCTGGCCTAGCAGGAGTTGGCAAACTCCAGCATAAGGGCCAATTGGCAGTTTTTATAGTTTCCATGGGATCTAGCTATACCCATGTACTTACAGACTGACTGCAGTTGCCCATGGGCCAGTGGTGGAGTCCAGTAGTCCAGGCCCACAGGGCTGCAAAGAAGCCAGTGTGCTAGCACAGACCCAACGTTCAGGGAGGCTGAGGCAGGAGGATGGCTTGAGTGCTGGAGTTCAAGGTTGATCAGGGCTGCATTTCAAGACCTCATATGAACAAAAATGAAAAAGAAAATAAAGATTAAAATATGTACGCAAAAAGTCTGCTGACCCTGAATATCTCACTCATAGTCTGGTCTCTCTAGCCCAGTTGGTGATACTGTTGGGCATTGGTGTGTTTCTTTAGCAGTAGCCAGCAGTGTTTCAAATGTATATGTGTACACACACACACACACACACACACACACACACGGTTTTACAGCTGTGTTCCTGTTTTCCTGGTGGTGGGAGTGGGTAGTGGACTTGGTCCGTGAGCCTCTGGTGTTTGCTCTGCAGTAAGCATTGTGCATGAGGATTGGTGCTGGAGGAACAAGAGTCTGGAGGTGGAAGTTCTGGAGGACGACGTGTCTGCAGTGGAGTTCCGGCAGACGGGCTACATGCTGCGCTGCTCTCTCTCACATGCCATCACTCTGGTATGCTCTGCTTCTAAATGGTCTCATAGAAATTAGAACCAGTGGGGCTGCTGAAATAGCTTGGCTGGATAAGGTACTTGCCAAGCCTGATGACCTGAGTTTGATCCCTGGGTATAAAGAGAGCTGACTTCTGAAAGCTGTCCTCTGTTCTCCACAGGCATGCTGTACATCCTTGCCACCCCCACCCCCTGCACACATACATACAAATTTGAAAAGAACGCTTGACTCATAGAAGTTGCCAGACCCTGGCATAGCAGGAATTTCATAATGATAGTTAAGCCAGATTTCCTTTTCTACCCCCCAGTCTCCTACCTGTTAATGAAGGTATCATCAGGACTCGGGGGGTTATTGTCCTGCCTGCTCTGCCCCTGGCTGGCAGATGAGGAGCAGTGGGTGTGGTGGGGTGCATGCTGAGTCCACATGCAGTAAGTTCACCTTTGTTTCTCCCTCAGTGTAGGGATCCTGATACGTACTGCTCAGGTTTCAGGGAACCACTTTGTATTTGAAGTTTCCTTGGCATACCCCATGTGTTTATTAACTACAGCTAAGTGTTTCTAGGATAGTGCTTTCTTCTGGGAACAGAGCTGTTTCTGTATCTCTCTCTGGTTTTTTTTTTTTCAGTGCTGGGGATCAAACCCAGGGCCTCAAACATGTTAGGCAAGCACTTTATCACTGAATTGTACCCCAGTCCTTTTTTTGACTTTCGGTTTCTGAGACAAGAGTCTTGCTGAGTTGCCCAGGCTGGTCTTGAACTTTCGATCTTCTTTTCCCAGCCTCCTGAATCACTGGGGTTATAGGCCAGTACCACCAAGCCTAGATTCTTCTCTTACTGGCTGGATCTGTGCTGAGCAGGCACCCTAAGGATTCTAGAGAAAGTAGTATCTGTGGTTTGTTCATGAGTTTTCTATAATTTCTTGACATCAAGCAGCAGCAGATGTCACTGTCAGATCCTTTGGTGCTATATGAATGAGAAACTTCACTCTTGAGTAGTTGAACCATGAGTGGGTCCAGTCTGCTCTGAGGTCTTCTGATTTCTCTCAGAAGTCTGTTGAATAAAGGGATCCTCTCTCATTTCCTGCATATCATGCATGGTAATGACTATCTTTGATGACAGTTTTACAGTGGGAGAAGTTGTTTTTTCGACCATACTGACCCAGAACAGCACACAAAGCCACAGACAGATGTCATCAACCTATGCTTCCAGTATTTGTGAGGGAAATGTTTTCGATGTTGTTTTCAACATCGTCACTGTCATGCCTTATACACACATTGTTCTGAGTCAGAGGCATAACTGAGTCACAAATAAGGAGCATGCCGTGAGACTAAAGCTGAGTGTTCAGCTCTGTTTGTAAATACATGGGGACTCCTAGTCCCTGCAGGACCCATTACATTGTTTTTCTGGAGTGCATAGTTCTCAGTATTCTCAGACACAGGATTAACTTGATTTACAAGGCTTTGTAAGATTCTCATTTCTAAAGGCTTATTACAGAGTCTTTCCCATTAAAACTATTCCCACAAGATCCTGGCAGAGAAACTGAGGCAAATGACAGTGACGTGGTTGCTTTTGACACTTAAAGGAACTCCAGTTGATGTCTCCAAGGCCAGCCTGCTGCCCCAGCTTCTACAAACACTGAAGCAGCCACTTTATTATAGGGATGGGTCAGTATACAGTTGAGAATAAGCAGTAGACATTCTTCACCATGAGTCCTGCAGTGGTTTCTGGGGCCTATGGATTCAGTTCTGCATTCCCTAAGGAAGGCCAGCAAGGCCTTTGGTCTTCCATGACTCCCACCTCACCTCCTCCACTGTCTGCTTGCTCTGTGTGCCCATCGACACTGGCTGCCCCACTTCTACCCAGACTTGGTGGTGCCAGGCTTTTTGACATGTCAGTCCTTTACCTAGAGGACTGCCTCAAATTCAGGCCAGTATTTGTCTCACTGAGGCCTCAGCTCAGACTGGCGCTGAAGAATTCTCCACCATGGTCTAGTTATTCCATTCCAGCATCCGCCTCTTAGCTCTGTCACCGCCTAGCTCCAATTACTCCTGCCTTTGTTGACATGTTCATTTTCCCATTTCCCAAATTAACACTCCACCCCAAGAACAGAACCCAGGGCAGAGCCCTGCGTCATCTCGTAGCAGGTGCTCAGTAAATATGAGCTGATTGAATGCAAACAGCACAGTTTGTTTGGAAGTTTCTGAAGGTTTTAACTCTCCCATGGTGTCCAACTGCTGAAGTGATGAGTGGAACAGATAGATGACTGGTTTGGAAGCAGATATTTTTAATCATCATAGTGCCCCTGTCCCCTCCATAAGCGCTATGTTGGCTCTGGCCCTGCAGGAGTTTCATCAGGATGGAAATGGACCGGAGAATGTGGGGATCTACAACCTCTCCAGAGGAGTCAACCGCTTCTGCTTGTCCAAGCCGGGTGAGCTTGCTGAGTGGACACATGCAGCCAGCTGTGGGCCTGGGAGGCAAGAGCATGGGAGGAGGGGGGCACAGGGTCAGCCATGAAGGCCTCATCCCCACCCAGCTTTATTTGTATCACCTGTCAATTTGTGTGTGTTTAGTACACTGTCGTTTTCCTGTATCTTCCCTCTAGAGGGAGTGGTGTTGACAAGTGTCCTGATTGCTTGAATTTGTTCCAGGCAGAGACCCCAAGTTCTTTCACCTTCAGGAATGTTTTGTTGTTGGCCAGTGCATTCCTAGCCCCAGCCCTGGCAGCCGCTCACTTTCTGTCCCTCTTGGAACCCGATCCTCTTCTTTTGTCTGACTCCTTATAATTAACGAAGTTTTGAAGTTGAGCCACATTGTGGCTTATGTCAGTATTTTGGTCTTTTTTGCTGTTAAATAACATTCCGTTGTGTACACTTGTCACATTCTGTGTCGCTGTATACCAGTTGAGGCACACGAGGATTGTTTCCATCTTTTGACTGTTCTGGATGATATGGCTGTGAACCATGTACAAGTTTTTGTGTCCATGAGTTTTTGTTTTTTTGTTGTTGTTTAGATACTTCAGAATGGGATTGTTCAATCATGGTAAATTTATGCTTCTTTTTTTTTTTTTAAGAAACTACAAATTATTTTCCTGAAAGACTACTTTATTTCATTTTCACACTACCCTGCCTGAGGCCTGACTGTCCCCTGGGTGTGCAGCTACATCTCTTAGTGGTCTTTTGTTGTGGGTTTTGTTTGGTAGGGTTTTTTGAAGCCAGGTCTTGTTATATAGCCCAGACGGTTTAGAACTCATTTGTAGCCCAGGCTGGCCTCTAGTGCTGGGACTGCAGGTATGGGTCACCATTCAGCAGCATGGTGCTCTTACATTGCATTTTCCTGGTGAATAATTCTGTGATTTCTCTTGATTCTTAGAATAAAATACAAACTCCTTACCCTGGTCCTGCACCCCTGGGTAGCCCAGGCCCATATGCTGGTCTTCACTCTAGCCAGGCTGCTTTCTGTGTTTGTTAGATGTCTTTGCTGTGGGTGACAGACCTATGTAGCCAGGCCTTACTTATGGCCCAGTATGAAATGTGACCAGCCTGGGTCAGTATTGTATAGATGTAGCTCTGGGTACATGTTAGTGCTGTGTAGGTACTGTGCTGGGTAGATGTTAATACTTGTAGGTACTGTTCTAGGTAGACAGCCCTCGGAGTCACTGGGCCTCTCTCTTGCCCACCTGTCCCTTGGTGCACTTGTCATTGGTGTTAGTGACCCCCAAATCCTCTGTCTGCAGATGCTAAGCCCCTGGAGGTCAGGCCAACCTGTATCTCCCCACTGTGTGCCAAGCTCAGAGTGGCCAGAGTGGTATTGACTGGAGTAGGAGCTCAGTCAGTGTCTGTTAAAGAAAGGACAGAATGTGTGGAGAAAGTGCACCCTGTCCCCTGGTGGCCACTCCCTGGGACATGTTCTGTGCGGTGAGGACAGCAAGGACTATTGAGGGTTCTTAGGAGTCTGACCAGAGTGCTGGTGCATGACACTGGGAGGGGGAAGGCTGCTTCCTGCCTGCTTCCTTGCATTGACTGAGCCTTCAGTGAATGCCACCTGGGCCCAGACTCAGGTGTTGTACTTTGCAGGCTGATACAAGTGCATTCTGTGATTGTTTCGTGCTCCCAACTCTTTTTCAGGACTATTTGTCATGGTTATCTTGTGGCTTTTTAACAGTCTTTGAAGTTGAGAAATACTTCTAGTCTAATTTGCAGAGATGTGCTTCTTTCTTGTTCCTTGGTAGACGTGCGTGTATTGGCTCAGTCTGCAGTTGTCACCAGGAGCTGCTGAATTACGGCTAGTGAAGGAGGGGTCATCCCCAGGTGGGAAGTAGCCTATCCCTGGTTCCTATCCTATTAACTGCAGAGCTGTAATACATTTGAACTTTCAAATGAGATACGCTGCCTTCAGGTTTCAAGTGTTGGAATGGCTGAGTACAATCCATTCCACTCTGAGATTGCCTCTGATCTCCTGTGTAGGTGTGTACAAAGTGACCCCTCGCTCCTGCCACCGGTTTGAGCAAGCCTTCTACACCTATGACACGTGAGCTGGAGCACTTTGTGGTGTTTGTGTGCACTCTGGGGAGTGGGGAGGCCGAGTACTTATCTCTTTATTTCTGAACACAAAAGGTACATTTCTGTTCTGTTTTGCTTGTTTTATTTTTCCTGGAAGAGGCAAGATTAGACATTAAAGTGAATTTCTAGATAAAGTTTTTTTTGTTTTTTGGTTTTTTAAATTAATTTATTTATTTTTGGTCTTTTTGAGACAGGGTCTCCCTGTAGCTCCAGCTGTTCTGGAACTCATTATGTAGACGAGGCTGGCCATGAACTTACAGAGCTCTACCTGCCTCTGCCTCCTGAGTGCTGGGATTAAAGGTGTGTGCCACCATGCCCAGCTAAAAAATATTTTATTTATTTTTTAGTTTTTATGTGTATGAGTGTATTGCCTGCATGTGTGTAAGTGTACCCATGTCATACAATGCTCGAAGAGATCAGAGATGGTCATCAAATTCCCCCAGAGATGGAGTTCCAGACGGTTGTTAGCTGTCATGTGGGTGCTGGGAATCAAACCCAGGTCCTCTGCAAGAGCAGTCAGTGCTCTTAACCACTGTACCATTCCTTTAGCCCCTTTTGTTTTGTTTTGTTTTGTTTTGTTTTGTTTGCTTTTGTTTGACAGGGTCTCCCTAGTCCCAGCCCATGTGGAACTCACTATGCAGATCAGGCTGGCCTCAATCCCACAATCTCTCAATCTGCCTGCCTCTGCCTCCCAAGACCTGCAATTGAAGGTGTGCACCACCATGCCTGGCTCCTAGATAAGGTTTTAAGATATTGGGTAAGTTACTGAGGCATTGGAGACAATCTCCTTCCCATGAGTTCTGTAAACTCATGGGCCAGTGAGAGGACTCAGAGACCAGAGTTCAAAGTCTGGAAGTTGGGTAAAGGTAGAAGGAGAGCACTTACTCCATAAAGTTGTCCTTTGACCCCCACATGTGCAGTGGTGTGGGCACCCCTCACCAATAATAATTGTTAAAAAAGAAGTCTAGCTCAGGCTGGAAGGCCACACTGTAAAATGGCCTGCTAGTGGTCCTTGTTAAAGCTCTCAGCCCTTGCTGATGTGGAGTCCAGCTTAACCTGCCATATTTATTTGCTTATTTATTTTAAATATTTTATTATTTTTATTTTGTGTGTATGTGTGTTTTACCTGCATGCAAGTAAGTATATCATGTGTGTGCAGTGTCCATGGAGGCCAGAAGAGGGCATTGGATGCCCTGGAACTGGAGTTAGGGACAGTTAGTTGCCATGTGGATGCTGTGAACTGAACCTAAGTCCTCTGCAAGAGCAACCAGTGCTGTTAACCACTGAGCCATCCCTCCAGCCCCTGTCTCTATTTTTGCAAGTGCATGTGGAATCTGCTGGGAACAGCAGGTGTAAAGTTTTGGAGGTGCAGTTAGCATACTCTTGGGTACTGCCCATTGGCCACTTTGTCACTGTGTTTTGGGCTGGGGAAGGCTGCCCATGGTGGTGCCAGCTCCCCCTCTGACTAGGTGGCACTGCTAGTGAGTTTTCTGTGCTTCTCTGATTCATAGGTCTTCACCTAGTATCTTGACATTGACAGCCATCCGCCACCATGTCCTTGGAACCATCACCACTGACAGGATGATGGATGTCACGGTGACTATCAAGTAAGACGGACTCCTCTGTCTCCTTTGTGGGCCAGGGGTGGAGGATGGCACAGGAGGCCTGGGGAGCACGCTAATAGACTCTGGAGATTGTGATTTCTTATCTCTAGTGTGTGTACCAGTGACTTTTTCTCTCTTATACTTAATGACACAGCCATAAATTTACAACAGCCCAGATCCCTTTGTTTTATGATTTAAGGGTTGACTCCAGGTTAGGAAAAACCTCCTGACAGCATGAGTCCATGTCTTAAATTTTCGCTTGAAGTCTTTATACTTCTTTGCAGGGGATGGGATGGCGGGCACCTCTGGGGTTTGGTCATTGTATTTCAGTGTTTTAGCAAATTAAAAAAAAAAAAACGTTTCTTTGAACCTTTTCTTGAAGGCTTACTTAGGAAATAGGGGTGGCTCCTGACACATAAGGGTCAGAGAAGGTGCTGGAAAGGGAGGCCTTACTGAGGATGTTCATGTCAGTGTCACTACTGAGTGGATTTTCTATGGTGTGAGGTTCATCTGGCATCCCAGTTTTCACAAGAAATGAAAGACTTGGTCTGACACAACTGTCTGTGTCATGTAGACTAGGACTCTGGAATTTGCTGCTTCCTTTCTGTAGTTGATGTTGCCTTTGCCTTTCCAGCTGGATTCCCAGCTTCCTGTCTACCCCTTGTTTGTGTTTCTGTCATCAGTGCAGAGAACATACACAGAATACTAAATAGATTTATTTTATTTACTTAGCCGTACTAGGGATCGAACCCAGAACCCAAGGCCTTGCACATGCTCGGCAAGCATCCTACCTCTGAGCTGCATCTGTAGCCCTTAATTTTATTTTCATTTCAAGACAAGGTTTCAGTCAGGTTGCCCAAGCTGGCCTTGAACTTGCTTTGTAGGCCAGACAGGTAGGCCCTAAACTTGTAATTCTCCTGGCTCAGCATCTTGTGTAGCTGGGATTACAGGTCTGTGCTTCCCTTGGCCAGGATATTGACTAATATCAGTTCTATTGAGAATGGTCAGGACGCAGGCCCTGGCCTCATGGGTCACAGCCCTGCCCTGTGGTATTTAAGTTTCAGGAAGGCCAACATGGAATCCTAAATTTATAACTGTGATGAATGCTTTGAGTTTGAGCTTAGTTAGAGCATGTGGGAGGGCAAGCTGCCAGGGATGTGGCCATGGTAAGGGTTTAAGGGTTTTATCTATGATACCATTGTCACAGTGTAAGTAGAAGGCTTGAGCTCCCCCCCACAGCTGCTGAATGCAGAAGAGACCAGAGAGACTGAAGACTAGGGAAGCTTAAGCAGGGGATGGAGCCTCTGTAGAGACCCAGGGAGAGGGGGCAGGGAAGTGCCCATCTTTTTACTATTTCTTAATTCTCTGTCTCTTGTCCAGCCAACAGACCTTCAGTTTTATGATAAAAGTATGACCACCGCCTCTTTCTATATCTTGAGGTACTTGGTTGTCTCACTGTGGGCTGGCTCACTGTGGTGGCAGGCTTGGGCCTGTGTAGCAGCCTCCTGTTCCACCTCTCTGTCCTAGCCATCGCCTCAGGACAGAGTGCCCCCCATGTAGTACCCAAAATGATCCTGTTAGCATGGGGTCAACTCTTGCTCCACTGAAAACCCAGTGCTTCCCACCCCATCAGTCATACCAACCTGAGAACTCTGAAGTGCTTTGACCCCTGCTGCTCCTCTGACCTCTCTGACCCATCTGTCCCTTCCAAGAGTTCTCTGCTCCAGGCTTCTTGATGATCTTGCTGTCTCTTGAATACTGAGTGAACTTTCTTCCAGAAGGCCTTGTTCTCATTGTCCTGTTGAGTAAGCCCCTCTCCACTGGACCTCAGGCCAGGTGCTCTCCCCACTTGTGGGAATATCAAGTTCCCATCCAGGAGGAGATGAGGACCAGATCCTGCAGCTGCCTCTGCCTCTCTTCCAGGTCTTCCATAGACAGTGAGCCAGCCTTGGTCTTGGGCCCTCTCAAGTCTGCACAGGAGCTGAGGAGGGAACAGCAGTTGGCAGAGATTGAGACCCGCAGGCAGGAGAGGGAGAAGAATGGCAAAGAAGAGGGCGAGGAAGGCAGGACCAAACCTCCTGGGCAAGAGATGGTAGATGAGCTACAGGGCCCCTTCTCCTATGACTTCTCCTACTGGGCCCGGTAAGTGCTCAAGTTTTTCTCAACCACACCCTCCATTCTGGAGGAACAGAGCCAACCAACCTGAGCTGTTCTGACTCCTTCAGATCTGGAGAGAAAATCACCGTTACACCCTCATCTAAAGAGCTGCTCTTTTATCCCCCATCCATGGAAGCCACCGTCAGCGGAGGTATGCGTCCACTCCGTGAGCGAGTGTCACACCTTTGTAGTTGCTTCTTTGCTTGCATTTAAAATGAGTTTTGTGGTACACTACTGCAGCCATGTCAGCCACCTGAAAGCCTCTTTGGGACTTGGATGTCATTATTGGATGAATAGAGATACTCAGATCATCAGTATTCAGATGTTTGGAGGGATGTATGCATACGTGCATGGATGCATGGATGGATTGAGGAATGAATGGATGCTTGGATGGGTGGAGGAATACATGGTTGGAGGGATGAGTAGATACATGCATGTGTATATGGATGGATGCGTGGAGGAATACATGAATTGAGGGATGAGTGGAGGAATACATGGATGGAGGGATGGGTGGGTGCATGATGAATTGATGGTTGGACGAATGCATAGATAAATGGATGCATGGTTGGATAGATGGATGGAAGAATATATGGATAGAGGGATGGATGGATGTATGCATTCATGCATACATGGATGAATGTATCTATAAATGGATGGAGGAATACATAGAGGGAGGGATGGATGCATGCATACGTACGTGGATGAATGTATGTGTAGATGGATGGATGGAGGAATACATAGAAAGGAGGGAGGGATGCATGGATGGATGAGTGATTTAAGTAGAGATAACTTTTGTAACTACAGTTGAGATGATTTTTTTATTTTTTTGGAAGAGGGTCTGGTTTCCTTTGACATTATCAAATTGACCCAAAAGGTGTAGGAGAAAAACTAAAGCACCGGTTGCCAAATTCAAGGCTTAATTTTGCTGTGTCTAGATGTCTTTGATCTTCCTGTTCCATGGGTAGAGAGAGGGTCTTTTCTGGAAATATGATTGCAGTGATTGTCTATGGTGTGTGTGTGTTTTGGCCACTAGTAGCTTTTCCCAGTCTTATGGGTCTGTTCAGCTGTGGGTATTTGTGTGCTTTATGCTTAGAAGTGAGCCTGTTGGAAGTATGGCTTTCTGCTGGAAAGTCAAATATGCCCCATCCCAGCCCCCCCATTTTCCCATTGGGTTCCAAGGTGGACATCAGGTGCCCTCCTCTATTGCTCTCTGCCTCTGAGCCAGGCTGGTGAACCAGCAAATGCAGTGATCCCCCTGTCTCTGTCTCCCAGTGCCAGAGTTACAGGTGCATTAGCTATACCTGGCTTTTTTACGTACTTGCCAGGGATTCAAAATCAGGGCATCATGCTTGCACAGCAAGCACTCTTATCCACTGATCCAGCCTCCCAGTCCAAGTTTCTCATCCTTAATGTGTCCCTTCTAGGCTCTTCTTTTACAAGAAGAGTATCCAGTGCTGAATGCCTCCACTCCCACTGTAGCTCTGTTCCATTCTTTTGTTTCCCTCTTAGAAAGCTGCCCAGGAAAGTTGATTGAGATTCATGGGAAGGCAGGCTTGTTTCTGGAAGGCCAGATCCATCCAGAGCTAGAGGGAGTAGAGATCATCATCAGCGAGAAGGGAGCGAGTTCACCTCTGATCACAGTCTTCACTGATGACAAAGGTGCCTACAGGTATGTCCCCAGGAAATGCTTGTGCCTGGAGTGTCCTGGGCAGCTGTTCTCAGGCTTCCTGGGGAAGACCCCAGAAGCAGAGTCATTCTTAGCACTTGACTCTTTCTTGTAGTGTTGGTCCTTTGCACAGTGACCTGGAGTACACCGTGACCTCACAGAAGGAGGGCTATGTGCTGACTGCAGTGGAGGGAACTGTGGGAGACTTCAAGGCTTATGCGTTGGCTGGAGTGAGCTTTGAGGTAATGTATTTCACAGGCCATTTCCTAAGGGGTGATGGACATAGTGATAAACCACACAGAGAGTACACAGACAGTTTCTGCACATGACCACTTCCTGAGGGGTAATGGACATGGCGATAAAAACCACACAGAGAGCACACAGTGTGCATAATTAAGTCCATACCTAATTGATTTGTTTATTGATTGATTGATTAGGTAATTTTCCCATGCTGAGATAATTTATGGGATTATATATTCTTAACTTTCCTTGTTGTTAGAAAATGCTGGATATAAGTAACTTAAGGGAGGGTTTGTTTATATTCGTGAGGGTGCAGTCCATCATGGTGAGGAAGGCATGGTGGCAGGAGCGTGAGGCTACTTGCTCACATCTCCATAGATGAGGAAGGAGGAAAGGGACAGGAGGTGGGTGCAAGCAAGCCTGCCCCCCTCACATGACCCACTTGTTCCAGCTAGGCTCTGCCTGCTGTAGCTTCCACATCTTCCCCGTATGGTACCTGCCAGCTGGGAGGCAAGTAATCAAAAAGCATGAGCCTGTGAGGGACATTTCACATTCAAACCATAACAGATTTTAAGTGGCACAACCTCTCTGAAGTGTAATTTGATAATATCTTTCTGAATTTAAAATGCATGTTTCCAAGAAGTCCTAGTGGTTGATTGCTCAAGAGAAAAACATGTACAGAGATATACATGTTGGGGGGGATTTGTTGTCTCCCCTTTTGCATTATAAATGTAGGCAGCCAACCTTCATGTTGTAATGCTAAGCCCTGCTTTAGTGTTCTGAGCTGTTATGAAATAGCAAGGTGGGACTAACATGAGAGCTAGGTAGATTGTTTAGGAAGAAAGAACAAGTGTCAGAATTCTACAGATAGCTTGCCATTGCTGTCTCCTGTCCACCCCTAGTGCACCTGCCAGCCTGTCAGTATGCCTAACATAGGTGTGAGGCTAGAGTTCTGGAAGGTTATAGGCAGTCTGTGAATAGGAGTTACCTGTAGGAGGAAGAATAGAGCCCCTGTCTTTCTGAGTGACAGTAAACACAAAGCCCTGGTGAGTATGCTCCCCTGACTTGGGGACTCTTATCTTTGCTTATTTTCTTCTTCTCAGATAAAAGCTGAAGATGACCAACCCCTCCCAGGAGTCCTCCTGTCTCTCAGCGGTGGTGTGTTTCGTTCCAACCTCTTGACACAAGACAATGGCGTTTTGACTTTCTCAAACCTGGTAAGGTTGCCTTCTGAAGTTGGCCCGTGGGGACATGGCATGTGTGACTCATGTATTACTTGACAGTGTGAGAACAGAAAACTGATGTGCAGTGTTTAGGGTTTCGGGGGACCACATCTAATTAGAGTATTGCTCTCGCTAGGATTTAGTATTGCTGATTCATGTTCCCTCACGCACACTTGTTTTCCCATCTCCCACTTGTCAACAAGGCAGTGTAATTAGTTGCTCTGACCACAGCAACTCCTCCCTTAGGCATCCCTTTGTTTGACTGCAGATCCTGTTCTTTATGGGGCCGTATGTTGTTTGGTGGCTAGCTTGTGTTTCCTCTATAAAGGTACTTCATGTATGGAGAGGTGGAGTGGGAGAGGGGCAGAGTACCAAGTTTTCAGTAGCAGTAGAGTCCAAGGCCCTGGTCAGCTGGGAGTTCAGGAAGTATATATTCACTGACACCATTCACTCCTGGAAAAGGAGTGACTATGTAGGAATTCAGGGATAACTTCTGCTTCGTAGAGTTGTAGGCAGGTGGTGATGACAGCTGCTGTTGTTAGAGCTGTACTTGCCAGGACTCTGTAGAGACAGGGCTGGCGTTTCTGTCCGGGATGCCCTGGAACTCTGACCTGACTGAGGCTGTGCTCCATGGTGACTTGAAGTTCTTCCCAGTGTGTCAGCCAGCTTGACTTGTCTTTTGGCAGAGCCCTGGCCAGTACTACTTCAAGCCGATGATGAAGGAGTTCCGTTTTGAGCCATCCTCACAGATGATTGAGGTGCAGGAGGGGCAGAACTTGAGGATCACCATCACTGGGTATCGAACAGCCTACAGGTGGGTGCCCTGCCCCTTGTGCTGATGGGTGGGCCCACTCAGACTCTTATCCAGAAATGCACCACAGGTTTCCTGTTGACTTAACTTGGGAGGAAGTAGAGGTAAAATGTAAGGTTGCAGAGGTGACTGCTGCCACCCCTTTCAGTGCCTCAGCCTGCTGTTGTCGCACTCAACAGTGTGCTATTTTATGTGTGTTTATTTTTATTTTATGTGTATTTTAGGATATGAGTGTTTTGCCTGCATATGTGCAAGTGTACCTGTGTGTGCAGTTCCCACAGAAGCCAAAAAGGGCTTTGGATCCCCTGGAACTGGAGTTGGACAGTTGTTAGCTGTCATGTGGATGCTGGAAACCGAATCCAAGAGCAGCCAGTACTCTTAAAAGCTGGGCTATCTTTCTAGTCCCTTGCTAAAAAAAAAATAAATTAAAAAAAAATGGGGCTGGAGAGAGATGGCTCAGTGGTTAAGAGTAGTTACTGCTCTTGCAGAGGACCCAGGTTCGTTTTCAGCACCCACATCAGGCACCTCACAGCTGTCTGTACCTGTAGGTCCAAGGGATCAACTCTGTCTTCTGGCTTCACAAGCACTGTAGGCACTTGGTACACATACATACACTTAGGTGCATGCACACACATACACATAAGATAAAATAAATGAGTAATTTAAAAGGAGAAGGTTTTAAATTTGATTATTTGTAGGAGAAGGAAATGTATCCCCTTTTCTGAAAGTAGAACTTCTGATGTTGGAAAGTGAGGATATAGTGTAAAATAAAGTTTCTCTTCTTATCTCCCGGCCCCTCAAACTCCCCTTCTAGGAAGTATCCTGCATTTCTAGTCTTTCTGAATACCTTCAGAGACAGTTTATGCAAATACTAACTACAGATAAATAGATACCCACTAGCTATGTGTATCTGGGCAGGTAGATAGATACAAACCTTTATATATGTATACTTATGTATGTGTTTTACACAAAAGCACTTTAGATGAAGGTTAATCAGAAAGATTAGTTTTAGAAAAATGGACCATTTCAGCTGAGCGTGTGGAATGAAAATCCTCTTGAGTTATTTCCTTGCTGTTGAATGTGTCATGATTTCAAATAAAAGATTAGCAAGACTAAAATACAGCTTGGCCCCCATGTTACAATTTTCTGGAGTGTTCTTGATGACAGCTTATCCCGCAGCTAACAAAGCTCAATCGGAAGTGGCCCAGGTCCAGCTGTATAGCTTGGGTCACAAGGGGTAGGTCCTCCCTGGGCAGTTCTGTACTGTAATCATTGATAAACTGGACACTTTACCTGTGATTCTTTGTATGCTTCAGCAAGCTGAGGATGCCATGTTTGTTTGTTCTCTTGTCACACTAGCTGCTATGGCACAGTGTCATCTTTAAATGGAGAACCAGAGCAGGGTGTTGCAGTGGAAGCAGTGGGACAGAAAGACTGTAGCATCTATGGAGAAGATACTGTGACAGACGAAGAGGGGAGATTCCGGTTACGTGGACTGCTGGTAGGGCTGTGTGCTGAGTGGGTGGATGTTTCACTCCTGTTGTCAGAGTTTCACAGCAGGCTGAAGGTGGGGTTCTAGAACCTCCAAACTCCTGTTTTGGCTGACACCGTATGTTTTTTATCTAGCCAACATGCCTGGTTTGGTCTGTGGAGATATAAAACCTGAAAATCACGGCATAGGTGTAGCTTTGCCTAGTACTAAATGGTTGTGGCTTACCCCATTGCTTTGAAATCAATGCTTATGGTGCCAGTGGAGCTCTTTTAGTGGCTGAAGGTAGGTGGGTAAACAGTAGGGAGTGGTGAGGACTGGAGGGGTGTGGCACAGGTAAAAGGGGCAGCCTACCTACCACTACCACTCAGCTCCACGTTACCATGGCCGTATGTAAAAACACTCAGCATTGCTGAGTGGTTATAATTTTTAAAAGAGGAGAGATGGCTCAGCCATTAAGAGCACCTGCTGTTTTTGCCAAGGACCTGGGTTTGATTTCTTAGCACCCAAATGATGGCTAACAACCATCTGTAACTCCAGTTCCAGGGGATCCAGTGCCTTCTTCTGACCTCTGTGGGCATGGCACGACATGGGTGCACTCACACACATGCAAGCAATACAATCATACACATAAAATAAAAATAAAATACATATTTTTTTAATTTTTAAAAGAGAAGCCCAATATCTTACTCCATTGGTCAAATTCCCGATTTTTAGATGTTGACACTTATTAAGAAGAAACCCATAGCTTGCATGGTACCAATAAACCACTTACTTGTCCTTAGGTCCGTTAAAGCACAACGTTTGGTACTCTTCCTTGATTTTTATTTCTTGACTTGCTCAATTGTTCTTTTGCTAACTATCCACAAGTCCCTAAGAAAGACTTTCTGTGTGAGTTTTGTCATCTGTAAAATGAGAGTGAGAATAATGCCCCTTGCAGCATGGCTGAGTGTTAAATGAGTTAACACCTCTGAAACACACAGTTGGAGTCTGGTCAGTAAATGGTTAGCAATGCAGAAATAACAGAATCCCTACAGTGGTCCTCCCTGGACTGCGTGGAGTTGCTGCTCTTGTTCACAGCTCTTCTCATTCTGTCAGAGGACAAGGCACCTGGGCCTTCCCTCCACTCTGCTTTTCTCATTCTCCTGGCTGCAGGAGTGAGAATTGAGATCTTTGCTCCCCCAGGGTCCTCTGGCCACGCTATATTCTAAGTACCAGACTTAACACAGTGATTTAATTAAACCACACATAATTCTTTTCTCCACTGTAGTAATTTCTGCTTCAGTTGATGCTCCCCCCACCCCAGATCCTCCTCCCCTCAAGTATTAATTTGTGGGTGCTCTTTGGTATTAGAGTTACTTCTGGAAGCACTTTGGGCCTCCCACATGCAAGGCCACATGCCAGGTCAGATCATGAAGGGAGACCCTTTGATGAGCCCTCAGCAGTTTTGGATTTAGGTTTCCATTTCTCCCAAAGGACGCAAATTGGAGATACTGTGTTAAGGATCTCAGCCCCACTAAGCATGAGCACCTGGACACATTAGTTCATTGTACCTTCTTGGCCAGGATGCTTGTGGAGCGTAGCTACACCACCAGATATTGTTGCCAAAGGTCAAGGGTTGAGAAGACTTGGTGAGGGTTGTAGCCACTGTCCTGACAGGAGCCTACCTGGCCCTGGTACTGGCGTAGGTGGCACTGGCCACTCTTTCCAGATTTACCAGAACCGTCTCTCCTTTTCTTCAAAAGTAGCTTCTTGAGTCTCTTCCTTCAAGGTGGAAGTAACTAGTTCGAATGGAACCCAGAATTGTAATGCTAACCGAGCATGTTTCTCTTGGTGATTTTTTTTTTACCTTTACTCTCACCGTGTTTTATTTTAAAATAATAGATTTATTGTCTTTGTGAAGATTTCATGTATTCTTTGTAGAATTCAAGCAACATATATAAACAGGACAAGACTCTGAAAGGGAAACTGGCCTACAGACTGCCACCGAAAGGCCATGATCCAGTTAATATGTTGTGAACATAGACCATCACACTGCCCTGTGCCTACAAGTGATGGTCAGAGTGGTGTAATTACAGCAGGCTAGAACCATGCTATCTCGTGTCTCTGCTGGTTTGAAAATAACTGTCCCATCCTAGGACTTTGTCCTAGAGGCATAGATACCCGGGACCTTAACGCAGGGTTTCAGAACCTGACCCTAGAGAGCGGTGCTGTTGGTGGCCTGAAGTTAAGAGTTTTTCATGGTGACACCTTCTTTGTTAAACATATCATTCCTGTTTGATTAATGGAGCAAAGGCACAAACAAGAGCATTTAAAACCTTTTTTTTTTTAAAGCCTCAAATCCCACTTGCTAGAGACAGCGTCATTTATAAGCATTGTGCAGTGTTGATCCAGTTGTCACTGGATGTATGCACAGGACGAAGGTGGGGCACGAGAGGAGGGAGGAAGAGCAGGCGCATGTTAGTCTAATAAGGAAAAGGTCAGGTGTAATCAACCTTGGGTTGAAGAATAAAACTGAATTGAGTTGGAAGAAATTATAGGACTAACAGTGTCTTGTCACCAAGGTGCTTTTGAAGGGTCTCCTTGGAAAGTTGATAGGTGCATATTGGGAAATGAAGGAACAGAAATGCTCCCTTTTCTAGTGACCATGTACAGCAAAGCCATGTTCAGGTCACGTGTGAGACTTCTTAGAGAAGTGACAGCTGGTGTCTTTGTAGCCAGGGTGCATGTACCACGTGCAGCTCAAGGCAGAAGGCAATGACCACATCGAGCGAGCGCTGCCCCACCATCGGGTGATAGAGGTAAGGCATCACAACTGCACATCCTGGGCCAGTGATGTGCCTGGTCAAAGACCTCTCAGTGCTTCTCTAAGGGTAAGTCTTAAATACTAACTCAGGGCCTCTCTGGTAGTGTTCTCACAAGCAGCATCTAAGGCGGCTCTGGGGTTTGTTTCTTTGTGTGTGTATGACTTACGGAGATGTGTGTGGAGGCCTTAGATTGACATAAGGGATCTTCCTTAATCACACTCTACTTTTTTTTTGTACTGAAGCAGGGTCTCTTGCAGAACCTGGAGCTCACTAATTGGTCTAGCATGGCCAGCCCTCTTGTCCCAAGGAGGCCTTATCTCCACCTCCTGAAAGCTAGGATTAACATATTTTAAATTTGTTGAGAATCACATGCATGTATACAATGTATTTTGATCATGTCCATCCCCCTTCCTCCAATTCTCCCTAAATCTTCCTCAGCATTTTCCTCTCCCAGCTTACTGTCCTCTTTTTTTCTCTCTGCTTCCTA